GTGGAGACTGCAGTGAGGGGCTGGCTGTGTATGTGGGGAAAGGTAAAACATCAAGGAGGAGGCTGTATACAGAGGCAGTTAATAAAAATCCTGATGTACTTATAGAGCTATTAAGAAAAGGCCTGAAATCCAGTATCCAAAGGGCCTCCCACTGCAGTGGAAGCAAGCACGGTGCAAACGTAGCTTCAAGTCTCTTTTAAGTGCGAACATACATACTTTATCCTGATCCTCTTTACCACTAACATTTTTAAATATTTATATATTTGTTAATCAATTTTACCCAAAGGGACTGTTTCTAGCAACTCCAAGGGTACTCTGTCAAACAAAATCTTCAAACAACACCCAGTTATCTTTAGATCTGAAATGGATGGACAACAGGACCACCATGAAGCACTCCTGGGATGATGTTCTCAGACCCCTTCTCGCATTAAAATCCAATAGGAATATCTCTATTTCCTCCCTGGTGGCACATTCCTCTCTTTAAAAACCCCTTCACTGCTCTCTTGCAGTGTACCAACAAACTTGGCTTTTTTACATTACTTGATTGCAGCTAAATTCTTTTACCACTCAGAACCAGCCTTTCACACATCATGCCTCCCACAATAAAACTGTGACTACAATAAGGGGTGACCACGAACCCCCTCTGCCTGGTTGAGATGAATACATCAGCTCACAGAAAATATACTGCATCAGACCTGGAAAGCTCTGAAAATGTGTAGATGGTCACTATGATTTTTATTGGACAAAGCACTCATGACACCAGATGGTAATTACAAAGGACTAATGTAGCTAGCTGTGGAATGACTTCCTCCCAAATGCTGGATATAATTTATAAAATGTGTAACTGGAAAGTAAAGAAAGGCAGGCAAGCAGAGATCTAGAGCTGGAGCTTCTACCCTAAATGAAAACAAAACCCTAGGAAAGGATCAATACAGATATTGCAAAAAAAAAAAAAAAAAAATTTATGTATAGGAGTAATTCTCCTAAATTCTTTGGCAAAAAGGGCCACCTCAATACAGAGTAGATGGCAAAAGACTTTTAGGCCTTGCCTGAGGACTGAGAAGGACCAGGTGTTCCCACAATCCTTTCAGCTCCAATCATTATTTTTCCATAGGAGTCCCAGTACAACTAAGAGTGGGAAATAAACATGCAGACTTCCTGTTTGACACTGGGACCTTATATAAGGTCCTGGTGAACCCCTTAACAAAAAAAAAAAAAAAAACAAAAAATTGACTACATCAATTCCAGGAGTATTAGGAAAGTTTCAAGCACAGTTGTTATTGTTTATATACTGTCTTTTGCTTTTGTTTTGTTCTTTATTTTTATAGCTTCTGGAATGCAGCCTAGGAGATCTACACTTAATGCAGTTTTCTTTACATACCAGAAAGCCCAACCATACTATTGCATAGAGACTTACTGCACAAACTAAAAGCTCAAGTTTGCCTTTTATCCAGAAATATGACAGTCAAGTGCCATGGAAAAAGGCACTTTATCTTCTCGTGTTGCTAAAAAGTGGTGGTCATCTAAAGATGAGTCAATGTCCCCAGAAATCCAGACTTGCAGCAGGTAGTATAGGCCAGGGGTACCAAGTAAGGCTAAAAACACCTTGTCTGCTAAGCTTGTCTTAAAGGAAGACACTCCAAACTCCAAAAGAAATCATACCTCTGTGAAGAAAAGCACTTGAAGCAATCCAACCTATCCTTCTGAGAGAAGATAGAAGACAAAGATAAGTAGAAAAAAAAAAAAACAGAAGGGAAACTGTAATTTAAAAAATCAAACTTAGGGCTGGGGATTTAGCTCAGCAGCATAAGTGCCCGCCCACTTGGCAAGTGCAAGTTCGTGAGTTTGATCCCCAGTACCCCCAAAAAATAAATTTTAAAAAACCATACTTACATAAGACACTGCAACTTCAGGACAAGGTTATCCAATCTCTACTCCCTAGGCTTGTTTATGCTTCCTAGAGTTGTTTGTTTTTTTATGCTAGTCCCATTATACCCCAAATCCTTTAAGGATACCATAAATCCATAAGTTAGCTTAGCTGGTAAGGTAAAGATAAGAAACCTGAACTTAAAACTCAGAAACAGATTCAAAGGGTCCAAAGAACGTTTTCCAGCAAAATACGTCAAATCATCCATTAAAAAAAAAAAAAAAAAAAAAACGCGAGTGTGTCCTTGCCTGTATCCTGTAAAATAGGCAATGATTTCGCCTGTAGAATGAGCGATCTATCTACCTCTGGGTTTGCTTTTTTCCTGTAAATCAAGCCAGAACTTTCTACAGATTTACCAATTCCAGATTTCTACCCCCAAACTCACATAAATATATCCAGCCCCAGAACATTGTGTATTTTCTGTTCTACAAACCTTTTTAGTACTCTCACTGATACATCCTGAAAGCCTTTTCTTCAGGAAGAGTGAAGAACCTACTCAGCAAGCTAAGTTGAGGTGACCATCATCCTCTTCAGAGCTCCTGACCCCCGTCTAGTGATGCTCCAAGTGTCTAAAGTGCAACTTAAACCTTACCAGTCATTTTACAACACTCCCATCTTGCCAATAAAAAGGTTTCTAAGCACAGAGGGTAGGGAGGGAAAGAGAAAGTAAAAGAATGAAGGTATGTTATGTGCATACACCACTCCCCATGATCAACGTAATTATTATGTAATACAAACACATACTAACAACGCTAAAAAAAAGTTTCAGTCTGACAATTATTTTGTTCTAGATCTATAAGCCATTAATGAAACTGTCCAGGATATTCACTCTAGTTGACCTAATTTTTACTCTTTGAAATGCACTGCCTGCAGAATGCAAATGCTCTACTGTACTTGATCTAAAAGATGCCTTCTTTTGCCTTCCACTCAAAAGGGAATCACAGTCACATTCTGCTTCTGAATGTACAATGTACATGCAATCAAAATCCACTCTCTAATTCTGCTGGGCAGTAGCCATATTTGGAGGAATACTTGGAAATCTTAGAATGTTACACTGGAGCCAGAGAACCATGGTACAGTATGTAGACAACTAGATAACTGCACTGACTGATGACCTTTGTATGGAAAACATTGCATGAACTCATAATCACCTTGCTAAGTGTAGTTACAGGGTATCTTCCACTAACCCACATATTTACAAGAAAAAGGTTGTTTACATTGGGGCTCTACTTACAACAATATAACAAAGTCCGGAGACTGACCAGAAAAAGGCCATTGCCAGCCTTCAGGTCCCTGGGGTCTGCAAGCAGTTTCAAGGATTCCTAAGGATGCCCAGCTTTTCAGAATAAGGATATATCCTTTTGGCAAAGCCTCTATATAAAAGAAGCTCTAACTGGGTAAACCTGGAGCCATTAATTTGGACAACAGAACACCAAAATGCTTTCTAAGTTCTCAGGACAGATTAGTGTCTATCCCCACATCTCACTTTGCAGGTGCCTAACTGTAAGAAGCCATTTAAGTCATTCCTTTAATAGCAACTAAAAACAAATCATTGATAAATACGGATCCTTTCTTTATTCATTTTCTACAGTATCCTTTGCACCAGCAAGAAAAACAGAAAGCAGAGAATATTTTTTCCTCACAGAATTAAACAAGGAACAATTTACTAATTGATGAAACTGAGGCAAAGGCACCAACAGGATTAAATTTGACTGTTATGCTCTTCATCATGGGGGATAAATCTCTCTTCTGTTTTCGTTTTTCACCCAAAGATAAGAATTCTAACCAAATTGCTAACAGAGCCTGTTTTAATCTATATAAAAATGTGAACTCTATATTCCTATCGGTGTCATGGTTTGTGAAATGTTTTGTAACTGTCAGTAGGTACAAAATATAGTGTAGGCAGACAGTGACAGTTTTAGGATATATATTGTATCTGTTATTAATCTCTTCTGCAAAAAATTTAAATTTATACTTGCTGTTTTTTTCTTTCCTGTCTTAAACCAAATTCACTGTTTCACAAAAAGCAACAAACAATCCAGTAACATCTTCTGCCTTTGTTATAGCTTCTTACAAGTATAGTAAGTAAGTGTTTTTGACAGTCTGCAACCTTATAACACAAATGACTTTTTCTTGACCTGAGGCTGTTCCAAACAATCTCCAAGGAGGATGAGTTTAGAGCTTGCTATGATTTGTGTCTAGACGCCCCTCCAAAGGCTTACATGTTCCTAGAATTTTTTCAGACCTGACTGAATCGAGAGTGAGTGATTGAGTCATGGTGCAGCGCTGGGGTTGAGTGGGGGATTATTGCATCTGCCTACTGACTGGATTGGTACTGCCCTTATGTTGTATCGGTAGACTGGATACATGAGGGACAGGAAGAAGCTTGTCTCACACTTGCTTGTTTTTTGCTGTCTTCCACCACCGTGAACAGTTGCCCCTCTGCCATGTCTCACCCTGCCTTGGAGTCAGCTGATTATGGACTGAAACCTCTACAAACTACATAAACCTTTCTCCTTTAACTTGGTGTTGGGTGTTTTGTGTCACTAATAAGAAAAGTAACCAAGACAGAGCTGTATTGCTGCTTTTATGCTTAAGCCATATGGAGGACATTTTAAAATTTGTTTCACTTAACACCATTACCACTGAGAACCTCTTATATTTTAAACATTGTGCTAGAAGCTTTGCAAACATTTACTAAATTCACAGTAACCTTGGAAGATAGCCATTATCTTCACTTTACAGATAAAGACACTGAGACTCTGTGGTTACATGCCATAGATCATTTCATTGATGGTTTATTACTATCTCATAGTGGCTGCCTTGCAATAGAATTTCAGCCTCAAAGGCAAATCAATGATTATCAAATGTTAACTCAACACTTAGTTGTCTGTGGTTAAAAAAAAACAAAAAACCACAATACTGTTGAAACTTGTCCTGAGATTATAATTTAGGAGAACTTGGAAATTTACCACATAACATAAAAAGGTAGACACACAGATGACAGCTGCACAAAAGCCAAAGATGCCCCAAAATGCATTCCCTTTGTGTGACAGAAGAAAATCACCCCCAATTACTTCTTAAGCAGTTTTTTTTAGTTTTATTTTAAAATCTTGTAGCAATACAAAAGACACAATCGGCTCACCAGTATCAAGTGTGCCACAACCATGAAGTAAATGATCCTCATGCAAATTGATTTATTTACCAACAGTCACACTGTGCAGCAGCCACAATTGTTTCTGTCTGGCCCCAAATTCCTAATATCTATCTCCACATATTCTTCATAGCATACAAAGGTAGAAATACACAGCTTTTTGAACCCACCACCCAGATGAAATCCTGGACAACTCAAAGTCCTGATCTTTCTATACACACACCCTTGGTCCCAGAAGGGAAAAATGGAATATCCTAACCCTTTCCAAAGCATCTCTCCCCTAGAACAGACAATGAGGTGTCAGCAGATCCATAACCAAAACACATCAAAATAGAGGAAAACTACATTTGGACAGCTAATGAATCTTGCTGTCCAAAAGTAAACTGTTCTTGGACATTGGCTCAGAATGAGTGGGTTATTAGAAAAATAACCCCGCTCCTGAAATCACCAGGCCTTACGTAAAAAGAAAACTTAGGGAAAGATTTCATCAAAAAACTGAAGAATCAAACGTAGGACTCTACCTATTATTCCGGCTTCGCTCAAGACAATGAGATCATCACTAGGTAAGACCACTGGTGTAACATAAACAGACAACAACTAAAATGTCCAATCTTCTCCTAGTACTTTAAAATTCAACTTCATTTCTATTTAATTGCGATTTTTTTTGTAGAACAAAAACAGCAAAGCACATTCCTACTCGTAGTCTGTTAAGAATGATGGTTTGGAAAGAACTTCCTATGATGATATCCAATACAGTAGCCAGTAATCATATAAGGCTACTGAGTATTTCATAAGCCGCTAGTGCAACTTAGGAACTGTATTTTAAATTTCATTAAATATTAATTTAAAGCTATTAAGCTTTAAATAGGCAAATATGGCTAAAGGCTACAATAATAGAGAGTACGGGTTTAGATGTTACAACATTAATTTTCAGCAAATAAAAATGCATTTACAAAATAATTTTTCCTAAGATTCAATAAAACAGACACAAAATCACAGTATTTGCTTAAAAAAACAAAACAAAACAAAACAAAACATTTCACTGGGCAAAGACACTGGGCTCTGGCCAGAAATGAGCCTGCCTCAATGAGGGAAGAAAAAGTAAGGCAATCCACTGGCTCTCCTAATTGTGAGTCTCCACATGGCCATCTGCTTGCTCCCAGGGGTTACTCTACATTTTTCTTTGAGGCTATTCCTAAGTTTCAAAAGAAATTCTCCTTTATCATCATCATTGGCAGTGCCTCTCACTGGACAGACCTGACAACCTGGTAGCCTGAGAGGCTGACTCTGCAGATGTTTCAGCAAACACGCCAAATAAAACGTTAGCCCACAGATGATCACAGATGTTTGATGGGTCCTATCTGCAACAGTTCAGTAAGGGAAAATAAATTTAGCAGGCTCTAGGACTCAGGAAGGCAGATTTGAGACTGAAAATGAAGGGATGGGGGCCATTTGCCCTGAACAGCTTTTCCAAATCAGTTCAGCAGGAAAACCTCCCGTTTTAGAAGACTCAAAAGACTTTTCTACGTGGACTTTCCGATGCTGCATGAGGTAGGCACTTCTGGTATAGCATTTCTCACAGTCAGCACATTTGTAAGGCTTTTCTCCTCTGTGGATCCTCCGGTGCCTGCTAAGGTTAAAGCTCTGACTGAAGCACTCGCCACAGTCAGGACATTTATAAGGTTTCTCTCCTGTGTGGATCCTCCGGTGAATCACCAGGGCAGAGCTCTGACTGAAAGTCTTCCAGCAAACAGAACATCTGTACGGCTTTTCTCCTGTATGTGTTCTCTGATGTCTAATGAGATGGGTGCTAAGGCCAAAACTCTTCCCACATTCACAGCATTTATATGGCTTCTCTCCTCTGCACTCCTCTATCACAATGCAGTTCTGATGTATACATTCTCCATTTCCAGAACCTCCACAGGATTCTTCTCCTGTGTGTGTTTCCTGGTATGTTATAAGATTTGAACTTCGACTAAAATTCTTCCCACAGTCTGGACAGTGATAGGACTTTTCTCCTGTATGGATTCTTTGATGTTTTAGTAGAGTTGAATTATAACCAAAGCTTCTCCCACATTCCAGGCATTTGTAGGGTTTCTCACCTGTATGCGTCCGCTGGTGGCGAATCAGGGTGGAACTCTGACTAAAACTGCTCCCACAGTCCGGACATTCATAGGGCTTTTCTCCAGTGTGCGTCCTCTGATGTTCTATCAGAACATAGCTATAGCTGAAGCCTTTTCCACAGACAGGACACTCGTATGGTTTTTCCCCTGTATGTGACCTATGATGCTGAATAAGGTGAGAACTGCTACTGAAACTCTTCCCACACTCAGGACATTTATAGGGTTTCTCTCCTGTGTGTGTTCTCTCATGAATAATAAGATGGGAGGTATTGCTGAAGCTTTTCTCACATTCGCCACACTGGTAAGGCCTTTCCCCCGTGTGTGTTCTCAGATGCTGAATCAGGTGTGAACTGTTACAAAAGCATTTCCCACACTCAGAGCATTTATAAGGCTTTTCTCCTGAGTGGGTCCTCTGATGTGTACGCAAATGAGAACTATTTCTGAAGCGTTTCCAACACTGGGAACATTTGTAGGGTTTATCTCCCTGCTGGACAGAAGCATAGGCATGTTCTCCCGGGTCCCCTACCCCATAATTGGGCTTCTCCTCCTCTTTCCCTGTAGAATTTCCCCAAATCTCTGACTTGCCATCATTCTCAGAGGAATTCTGAGCCAAAATTTCATCTTCTTGGGACAATGTCGATAGTATTTCTTCTGCATCCTCATGCTTAGAATTTTGTGGGCTATATCTTTTAGACCATTTTGAAGCTCTCTCTTTAAGCTTATCTGCCTTAGGATTACAGTGTTGAACAGTTCCAAAATTATTCTTACTTTCATCTCCTGCAAGAACAAACAAATACTCTAAACATAGCCCCTAATCTGCCAGAAAAGAAAATTCCAAATTGCAGTGGAAGAGATACAGTAACAACATAAACTCTTATGAATTATTCTGGTTTTTTTTTTGTTTGTTTTTGGTCTTTTTCCTTTTTATTGGTACCGGGGATCAAACTCACGACTGCCTGCTTGCAAGGCAGGCGCTTATGCCGCTGAGCTAAATCCCCAGCCCCTTATGAATTATTCTGTATAAAAGTGTTTAAAACGAGTTTTACTTCTTTTTTTAACCTGTTCTTTTTATATCATGTCTTAATCCTTACTTCTACTTTGCTTCCCCTCCACCTGTCTCCCCCCATCCCTGGGACCCCTTCCCACTCCACAATGTCTGCCTCCCTATTTCTTATCATTTGTTTTCCTCTTTAAATTATTTGTATTTTGGGTTTTGTATGTGTTCACCAGAAGCAGGTGAAATTTATTATCTTTATTAACAATTGGTGTTAATATCTGAAATATCTGAACCATTGTTAGCAATTGCCAAGGAGAATATCAATCTAAAAACAAATACACTCAACATCATCCCGTAAGACACACAAGCAAAAGGGGACCTAAGTAGGGATAAAGCACAATCTCATCTGAAGTGAAGAACTCAACAGCTTAGTTAAAATATAAGCAAATATAAGGCTAACAATAGCCACTATTTGTTAAGAACAGTAGCTTTGCATGTGATTCTCATTAATCCTAAAACACTGTGATGACATAGTCATTTTTTAAATTCTAGGTGAGAAAATTCATGGTAAAAGAATCAGCAGCTTGTGTCACAGAATCAAATTAAGGTTTATCTCATTCTAATATCCTGGGTTTTCTCCATACTTTCTAGCACATCTCATAACAAATTTCCTAAGGAGGGAGATCATCTTCCTGAGCCCTTACCTGTAAAGGGGCTTTTCAAACTCTCCCTCTTCATGATTCCCTTAGAATCTGAGTCCAATAGTTCTTTTCCTTGCTCCATCACAATGATCACAGCCAGCTTTAGGATCCTAAACCCTGTAGAAGGAAAGCAAGGGTTGTGTCTGGAGGCCTTTGTTAAGTTTATCCCTTCTCCTCTCCAACCACTGCAACGTAACAATTTTAGACACAGAATATTCTACAGAACATAATGAAAACATGAAACATGGTCCTTCTCTAAAAATCTTATACTATACCCAAATAATGTGACTTATCTAAGAAAATAAAATTTTTAAGTACATAAAATTACTATTCATTGGAAGTCTCTTCACAGGAAAGGCCTAAGGACCAAGCTTCAAAGATAGAATGTATACAAATACTCACTGTCCACTTACAACTTAGAAACACTTTCAAGAAATCAATATGCAAGGTTGGCGATTTAGCTCAGCAGCATAAAGGACTGCTTGGCAAGCACAAGGTCATGAGTTCCATCCCCAGTACCAAAAAACGAGAGAGACAGAGACAGAGACAGAGAGAGAAAAGAAATCAATATGCAGTCAAAAGAAGCTAAAGAAGAGAAAACAATTCAATCTTTCGATTAAAAAAAAAGGGCTGGGGATTTAGCTCAGCGCTTAAGCGCCTGCCTTGCAAGCAGGCAGGTTGTTAGTTCGATCCTTGGTACCAATTAAAAAAGAAAGAGAAATCTTCGCAGTCCATTTCAAAAAAAACTTAAAGGTGAATAAAAGAGCAATAAGAACTTAAGACAAAACAGGACTGTCAATACTGTCAATAATCCCTAAATAAAACGGTCAAATGAGGAACTTTTTCCTTTAAGTTTCTATCACGATCACAGCACACATTTCAGCCTATACTTTATCTTTTGGAGCCAACTGCAATTCCTGATCTACTTTAAAGAACTAGAAACTCTGATCTAGCATTGACAAGCAGTTACGTATAGACTTGGCATTTATTTCAGGATTGAAAAACATAACGGGCAAAAATAAAAGGTTAAAAAGACACAGTAGAATCCATATAAAAAACAAAACCAATATCACCTTTATCCTAAAATGTCTTGCACATATTTCTCATATAAGTCTCACCTAGAGCATAATGTACATGTGTAATCCTGATTGTTTTATCTGTAAAAACATTATAAATAACTTTATAGGTAAATAGCTTAAAAGGCAGTGAGAAACTCTTAAGTTTAAACAACCACAAAATGGTAAGCAGGATTGAAATCCAAGCTTGATGCAGATATTTACACCACCTAGTACAATAAACTAGAACAGGAAGCAGCACTGGACATAATCTCCAACGGCAAATGTATTAACATCAGAATGAAATTCTCAAACTTCACATCACAGTGGCTGGCACTCTGCAAACACACTTAGTAACTAGAGGTTCGTTATAAAGGCGAAAGTAGTACAAATGAACGCATCTCTAGGGTTCCAGTGAAAATGCACTTGAATCTTTAAAATAAACATTTTTTAAACGTAAAGTCATGTTTTGCTAAGTAACTTGTCTCCATCAAAATGTTTTTTTAAAAAGATTCGTGGTAATAGACTCCCGTTTCATCATTCTCCCTAAAACACTATTTTATTAAACTTGATCGTGAAGGATCCCTCAGGATACTGACTTTGCCAAACGGGAGCAAATTCACTCCACCAAGAGTACTAAAGTAAGTGTGTCCCGCAGAGTTGCCTCCACAGACAGGGCTGTTTTCACCCCTGCCTGGCCAGGAGGTGATCGGGATGGGTCGTGTTTTGAAGAAGAAAGCCTGCAGGAGGAGCCGCACTATCCGCAGCTGGGCAGTGGGTGCCCGGCGGAGGACGCTGCAGGAGCCGCTTGTCCCTGCCCAGGAGGAGACACGCTGGGCCAGCACCTCACCCCCCCCCCCCGACGTCCCCGGACTCACCCCACAGTTGGGCGCTTTTCTCCTGCTACCCGCAGCCCGCAGGAAGAGCTAGATGTCTGGGACCCGGCACACAAGGAGCTCGGCAGCCTTAACAGCCTCGGCTTCGGGGAGGGAGGAGACGCTGCAGCCTCATCGCACCAGCTCAGAGGCTTGAACTCTCAAACCCGGAAGACAGGGACCAGAAGTTACCTCATCTTCCCGCGCCGGCTTTGCGGGGGCCCTCTCTAGGAAACGGTGGTGGTCAACTCTTGTTGGTCTTAACCCTTGAAGAGCCGTTTCCAGACGAAATTGCTGGTGGTTTGCTTTCTCGTACCGTGATTCTCACCACAGAGATTCTCGTTGTCACGTTTCTTAGCCTTCTTAAGACAGGGGTCTATTCGAAGCTTATATTTTTATTTGCTGTAAGAGTAGCACCACATTTATCATCATCATCATTAAAATGAAAATAAATTTAATATTTTTATATGTAGCATTTAATTTGGAGACTACTGGGAGATGTACTGCAAACTATCTAATATATGTAACAAGTTACTGTATGTTAAAAAATAAAATACCAAAATTTAAAGAATTGTATTCAGTGTGAACTATGAAAAGTCACACAAAATATGTCTTAACTTTCACAGTAAGTTCCTTGTGGTTCTATTTACTTTACTTACATTTTAAAACAAAACAAACCAGCAAAGACTTTATAGACCACTTTGGAGAAATCAGCTGGTCTTGTTTCGGGAGATTTCCCATGCCAAACCAACTCAAACCAAAGCAAACCAAAAGAAACTCTTTGCACCAAGGAGATAAGAAGACAACATTTAATCTTTACACCAGACTGTTGGATTTCACCTCAGTGGACTGTTGCAAGGATAATTTCTCCCAAGAAACTGCCCTGAATCAGGAAGGAGTTTAGTCTGTATAGAATTAGAAAGTACAAAGTAAGTGACCAAACCTTACAATGATTGGTTACATTCACAGAATCATATATTGACAGACAGTCTAGTCTTGAAACAATAGAAACATTCCAGGAAACAAAGAAGGAGGCTCTTACAGAATGAGTATAGTTAGGGACATTGTCGTAATATAGGAATGTTCCAGAGAAAGGACCTTTACTGAATGAGTGTGGTTAAGGGCATTACCATAATATAGGAATGTTCCCCAGAGAAGGCCTTTACTGAATGAGCACAAATCAGCCCAGGGCGCCTTCAGGGACAGACAGTTACTCTAACCTGTGCTCATCTGCAGCTGGGCTGTGGACCCTGTCAGGGGTCAGCTGACAGCAGAACAGCACTTGGTCAGAGACCTCTTATGATCAGGAAATATCGTAAGTTTAACCATCTCATGATTGTGTTTCCACATTATAATGGTGCCCCAACCTCTCACCTGAGAATTTTCTTCACACTATTTTATAAAAACAAATCTGGAATGTAGCTTTCCACAAAACACATCTTCTATGGAAAAATGCTTCCCTGATTTATTAAACTGACAAGTGTCCTCAGTATGGATGTTCCAAATCCTCCACGCATACCACACTCATGGACATACTACTCCTCATTCCTTCATTGTCTTTACAAAGGTTTGTGTGACCAGCTGCTGAAATTCCAAATGACAGCTCTCTGCCATTTGACTTACTTGGTGTGGGTCAGATTTTAGGATTTCCTACCCGTAACTCTGTCTGCACTAGCCTCCAGGGCCTTGGCGTATCAACTTCTGTGAGGACGCCTCTAACACTTTTTCACTCAGACCTCCCCCTGTGCATTTATGTGAAACGCTGAATTCCAGCAGTAGAACTTCGCACGCTCAGATCATTTCTGGGGCTTCTCTCCCATGTGAACTCTCGGGTGTTCACTGATGAAACGTCAGAGTGAAGCCTTTCCCATACTCACTGAATTTAAATGTTTTCTCTTCTGAATGAGTTTTCTGGTGAATTTGAAGGAATGCCTTTCTGGAGTAGGCTTTTTCACACATGCCGTCTCACTGAGTTCTCTGTGGATGATCAGCTGGACTTTCCATAGCAGGCTTGCTCACACTAGCAGCACTCCCAGGGTAGCTCTCCTGCTGGCAGCCTTCTGTGATAACGAGGAAGGACTTGCTGCTGAAAGCCTGCGTGCACTCCCTGCATCCCTAGAACTCCTCTCTCACATGGGGCTGCAGATGAGCAGAGAGGTGCTTCTTCCTCCCAGAGACTTCCCACGCTTGCGGAACTGACAGGAGACCTTTTTTGTGTGGACTCTTTGATGTACAATGAACTTGTCTTCATGTTGAAGGCTTTCTCACTGCATTGACAGGGCTTCTCTCCTTGTGCATGCTGACGTGAACCAGGAGATAGGACTTGCTTTATAGGCCTTGCCACGCTCAAACTACTTACGTGGTTTCACTCCTGTACAACTTCTCTGATGTACAGTAAATGGGGACTTAAAACAAAAGGCTTTGTTCCCATATTTGCTGCATTCGTTGGGCTTCACTCTTGGGTGACTTTTTGGTGTAAGATGAGCTAAGATTTCCAACTATGCACTTTCCCACACTCGCTGTACCCAGGGGTTTCCCTCCTGTGTGGACTTCCGGGTGGATGATTAGCCGTGACCTGAAAGAGAAGACTTTCCCACATTCACTACACCAGTAAAGTTTTTCTCCTGTGTGAACTATCTGACAACTATTGACAGTTCTCTTATGTTTAGTGCATTTATAAGGTTTCTTCCTGTGTACAAATAATAAACTCACTGGGGAAAGAAATTAGGGAAACTGAGCCATTCATAATAACACTGAAAAAAATGAAATGCTTAAGAGTCAGTCTAACAAAGGAAGTGAAAGATATCGACATTGAAAACTACGTTATTCCAAAGATCAAATTAGACATCAGAAAATGGAAAACTATTCCTTGCTTTTGGGGTGGAAGGACCATCATAGTAAAAATGGCCATACTACCAAAATTGTTATACAAATTTAATTCAGTCCCAATCAAAATACCTGTACCATACCTTAAAGCATTAGAGAAAAAATTTCTAAAATTCATTTGAATCCAGAAGAGACCTAGGATAGCAAAAAAAAAAAAAAAATCCTTGACATCAAACACAAGGCACAAGGCTTCACAATCTCTGATTTGAAATTATAGAACAAAACTACTGTGATAAGAATAGCATAGCACTGGTAAAAAACAAACAAACAAACAAGAAAACAGACTTGGAGATCAGTGGAACAAATTAGAGCATGCAGAAACAGCTCCAAACACTGTCACCTTATCTTTGGCAAAGGGGCCAAACATTTTCATTGAAAGAAAGATAAACTCTTTAATAAATAGTGCTGGAAAAATTGACTTTCCACATGCCAAACACTTAAAATTAGACTCATATCTTTCACTACACACTAAAGTAAAGAAGGATAAAAAATCTAAATATCAAGAAAACACTAAATCTACTAGAAGAGAAAATAGGTAGAAGTCTTGAAGACACAGATGTAGGTAAAGACTTCATGAATAAAACCCTGATTGCACAGGAACTATTACAAAGAATTAACAACTGGGATTTCATCTTATTAAAAAGCATTTGTAAGCAAAAGAAATCACCAATGGAGTGAAAAAGACCACCTACAGAGTAGGAAAATATGTTTCCTGCTATACCTCAGACAAAGGACTAATATCTAGAATATATAAAGAACTCAAAATACCTGAAACCTCCCCCCCCAATTTAAAGACCCATACACACTTCTGAGATGAAGGAGTAGAAATAGCAAATATATGAGAAAATGTTCAACATCACGGGTCATTTGAGAAGTGCAAATTAAATCAATGCTAAGATTCCATCTTACTCCAGAAAAAACAGCTGTTATCAAGAAATCAACCAATAACAAATGCTGGCATGGATGTGGGGAAAAAGGAACCCTTCTCTAGTGTTGGTAGGAATGCAGACTGGTGAAACCACTATGGAAATCAGTGTGGAAATTCCTCAAAAAAACTAGGAATGGAAGATGCATTTGACCCAGCTAGTCCTCTTCTTGGTATCTTCCTGAAAGAATTAAAATCATCATACCACAGTGATACATGAACACTCATGTATATACAAGCACAATTTGTAATAACTAAACCTTGGAAACAACTCAAAAGCCCATCAACTGTTAAATGGAGAAAAAAGATATGGTTTTCACCTGATGTGGTGATGCATGCTTGTAAAGCCAACATTCACGAGGCTGAGGTAAAGGGATGCTGTGAAGTCTAGGCCAGCCTGGCCTACAAACATCATATAGATAATTTCTTCAACATATGGAGACTATAAATACAAGCGCTTTATTCTAAAAAGCAAACAAACAAGATTGGTGTAAATCCAAAAGGCTGAAATGCTTCCATTCTGGATAAGTCAATTAAGAACCTGTACAAGTCTGTTCCCAGGAGCTAACACATCGCTTATCTCTATGAAGGAGAATGAATTCTAAAAATTAACATGTTTTTCACTATTTCAAATTTCTCTATTATATAAAAATTAGAGAGACCCATAATATCCAGTAACTTTAAAAGATAAGCTGAAAGACTGCTATAATCAACTTTACCACTGTTGGCCAGGCCGGTTTAACATATACACAGGGAATATACACCCACTCTATAATTTCTTATAAAATAAAAGTAAGGAGTAGATGTGGGAGATGTAGAAGGGGAAAGAGAATTCAAAAGTCCTCCTCTTCAGTAACTTTAACTTTGGAATCAACAAAAAGCGACCACTTCCCCTTGTACTCTTTTAAACTTCGCACCACACAGGAAATCTTGCTCTCAAATCCACTCATGTAAATGCCTGTTTGGTCACCAGAATCCTTGCTCCTACCTGTTTCGTGGGTCAGGTTAGCACTGTTAATCTCAGAACATCTGCTTTCAGCAAATGCTGCACTGGCAGGCTTATGGGGATCAGATGCTTTGTTGTGGAGCTCACAGTCTGCTTTGCTCTTTTGTCCTCCAAGAAGTCCGCTAGTTTCTACTTTTTTGTGTTGTTCAAAACTTTACTTGGCTGTGTATTTCCACCAGCTCTCACCGCACTTCATCATTGAAATTTTCAGCTGTACCCCTTGCTTCCTCCTCAAACGGTGGCTCTGACTTCCCTACTTCGCACATCTGGTCAACCACAAAGTTCTTGCCTGGTTCTAAGCAGCTGAGGTCAGTGACTTTACCAGAAGCCGTGTAATATCCACTGCTGACTGTAATGCCACTGTGCATCACC